TTGTGTCATGGCGGGCCCCCCCCTTACGAAGTTGGGCCCCCCCCTTGAAAAATTTCTGCGTACGCCACTGATTCCAAGTGAAAACAAAAAATGCAGTGCTGAACGAGTGTCTATAGAATATTCGTTTCGAATTCTATTGTATTTTGAAGTTTCGACGATATCCGTGAGTGTCTATAGTTTTTACAAGTACCATCACGGTTCACTTTCAGATCAGTTTAATAATAATAACAAACGAAGAATAATAAAAATGTATGTATTAGCCGAATATTCTATCATATCACTGATTAAATAAATATTCAATTTCACAGCAAATCATTCATTATATTTCGTAAATTTTTGTAGTTATTTTTTTCTTTCTTTTACGCCAGTGAAATATTCTTTTTTTTTTGTATCATAAGAAAAGAATTTGTTTATCTTTTAGTAATGCAATATAATTTTGTATGCTACGTGTTTTTTAAAAGCTAGTCAAAAGAATCGATGACTAGTACAGTTTCATTAAAAATATGTCAAACTAAATGTGACTATTATATAAACGTGAAAGAGTCTAAATTTAAATATTTAATAATCATTTCGTATTTTTGTAAATTAAAACAAAAAACCGATATTTCGTTTTTTAGATTAAAATGGCCACAACTATCGAATCAAAACCATGTCAAGCAAATGATAATGGACTCACTTGTGAAAAAGATGCCAGGTAAAAAGAATTAATTTTATTTTTTAAAAGAAAAAATATTTTGTAGTTGTTATAGAGCAAAATGTTTTCATTGTTCACGTGATTTATGTTTAATGCATTTAACTGAACATACACAATTAGTTGAAAGTCAAACACGAACATTTTTATATTCACATGAAAAAATTTTAAATGATTTAAATAATAAATTTGAATCTCTTTCAATATCATCACGTATATTAGAATATCCATTTATTCAATTGGAAAAATGGCGTACAGATGCTCATCAAAAATTAGATCAATTAGCTGAACAAAAACGTCAAGAAATTCAAAGAAAAATTTCGGAATATAGAATTATATTTACAGAAAAAACAAATGAACAAAAACAAAAAATTGAATTATTAAAAAAACAATTAAATAATTTATCTCGACAAACACATGTGGCTAATAAAGAAATTAAATATTTAGAAGATAAAATTAATGAAACAAAAATTTTTTTACATTCTATTGAAAAACATTCAATTAAAGTATCTACTTATGCTTTCTTTGTTAATATTCGAACAAATTTTTTTGATTTACAAACTTCACGAATTGCTCAATTAGCATCTCCAATTATTAGTCAATCTACAAGAAAGACACGTTTTGATTTAAAAGAATTTATGAATAATGGAAATAAACAACGTTTGGATAAAAAACGATCATTATCTGTTTCATTATTATAATAGAATTTTATTTATGAACATTTCATTATCGTTGTTCAGTTTGTTTTGTTCTTTAATAAAATAAAAAAAGAAATTTCAAGACTATTTTACAATGATTTATTGCTGTTTTTTGACATTGAAAAAACAAAATATTCTGTTTGAATACATTTTTCATTGATAATGCGTAGTTATTGTCTTCACTGGATATCTATGGAATTTAGCTCTGGAATAATAATCGCGAAATAACAGAGGGAAAAGAAAAGAAGTGACTTGTTTTCTCTTAAAAAAATGTTTGCCATTTAATCTTTTAAATAAAAGAAAAAGACATCGAACTGTAGTTTATTGTCTATATTGAGAAATCGAAAAATGACTACAGTTGACAAACCATGTCAAGCAGAAGATAGTGAAAAATGTAAAAATGAAGCTCGGTAAGACTTAATAATTGAAAATCTATTTTTGTTTTTATCAATAAAGAATTTTTCTCTTCAGTGCACATTGTTATCATTGTTCTCGTGATTTATGTCTTGATCATTTAACTCAACATGCTCAATTAATTGATGCATTAACTCGTTCAGCTCTTGATGATTATTTTACAATTCTTACAAATTTATCAACACGTCTTCAATCTTTAACAATATCAACGAATATTCTTAATGATCCATTTTTAAAAATTGAACAATGGCGTATAGATGCTTATCGTCAAATAGATGATATTGTTGAAAAAAAATTTCAAGAAATTCGAATTAAAATTGATGAATATCGTCAAATATTTGATACAATACGAAATGAACAATTAGAAAAAATAGTTCGTTATAAAGAAAAAATTGCTAAATTATTTCGAAAAACACAAGTAGCTAATAAAGATATGTCAAATTTAAAAAAATCAATTGAACAAATTCAAAATGATTCAAATATATTTGATAAACATTCTATTGAAGTTCTATCTAATCGTCCTTTAATTCATTCAATTAATATTCGAATGCGATTAAATGATTGGAAACTACCACCTAGTCCATTGTCATCATCACCATCATCATCTTCTCTATCATCAATTATTCAACAATTAGAATTTCGTTTAAAATATGTTCGTTTATCAGGTATTGTTACTTGTCACTATGTATTAGTTGAAATTAATGGAACTATAGGAGATTTAATTGATCAATTTATTATGACAGAAAATAATTTAATTATGGGAAAATGTAAACGTGATTATTTTTTACCAGCAGAAGTTAGTCAAAATCGTGTTCGTCGAAGATTTACGAATAATATTCAATTAAAAATTATTTTTAATAAAATTGATGAACTTGTTTTATATGAAACACCGTTTGAATTGAATACATGTAGTCTTCAACAATATTGTCTTATTTTCTGTCGATTTGAAGATGGTCTACCATGGAATATTAAATTTGGTTTACCAATTTTACTTAATGTACCACGTTTTCAATGTCGAGGTCGAGATGTAATAAATGCATTAGATAAAATACTGAAAATATGTTTTCCACTTATAGTTACTAATAATAATGTTCATTATGAAGTTAAAATTGTTTCAGATGATCATCAAATAAGTACAGCAACAATACTTAATGAATGGGCAGATGAAGTTATTGATGATCATTTATTGATGGCTGATAATGCCATACTTGTTATTAATCTTGTTTACAATGATCAATCATCAATACAAAAACAAATAACGAATTTGGCTCGCTTAGATGGAACTTTGAAGAATAATGATAAGTACCGAAAGAATCGAAAATGATTGTGACTATCGATCTTATTAAAGAGATTTTTCTCTTTCTCTTTATATATCTTCTTGATCAGTGATATCAACGACGAACATGATTTGCAACATATATTGATTTCAAAAAAAAAAAACAAAAAAGAAATATCAGCCATATTTTGTTTTTATTTATTTATTATATTTTTTTGTTTTGACTAATATATTTTATTTACATGAGAAGTCTTGAAGAGAATTTGATGAGTGTTCATATGACGGAAAATCAAATCGGATTACAAACTATAAAGTTAATGATCATCAATAGATTTTAAAGTTGATGAAAGAGTTTTGAAAATACTTGCGTATTTTTTATTTCAACTTTCTAGAAATCAACATTTACACTGATATTCAATGCACATTGATCCTTCGTTGACGTCCTTACTTCGAAAGTGCATTGTTGTCCTTGGATACATCTGAACACATCAATGGAATGTTAGAAAAAAAAACCGATAATTTCGTTTTATTTCAGTTATTCATTTATATACTATGGACCTCTAGATACCCTTTTTATATATTGAAGTATAACTGAAGAAAGTCATAGATTCAGTTATCTTAGTCTACAACGGTAGGAATACATTGACATGTTCATATATAGAATTATCTATAGATAAGAAGAGAAGAAATTTTTTTTCTTTTTCTGGTAAACGCTTCAATTAATTCACACGATTTGAACGAATCGACAAAACGATCTTATATGGTTTTGATCAAAACAGAATCACTGATTTCACAGTGAATAAAGAAAATGTGAATCATTACTAGTAATGATGAACTTACAAACGAATATATTTGGAAAAACAATTGAGAGATAAAAAATATCCTCTTTAGCAAGACCAAGCTTATAACAATGTTGGTGTTTTAGGGTCGATGTTGACCCACAGCTATATTTTTCCCTCTTAGATCTATTCATAATTTTTTATAAGAATATTATGCATCCAGCAAAGACTAGAGATTATAGAAAAGAAATATTCCTAGTACTAGACAATAAACATAAAAGTAGATTCGCTAAGATTTCATGATAGTAACGAAGAGTTAAACTTACTTTTTCGATTATCCCATATCTAAGTATCGAATCATGTTGATTGCTCTTGATCATACTATTCTTTGTGACTATATATATTATGATTTGATCTCAGTTAGATTCAATTGATTACTAAAATATGTAAGACGAATCATAATTTTTTTCATTTATACTTTTACTTCATTCGTTTTACTGATATGGATATTTAGAATCTCATACTAGTTAGTTTAATGCTAGAAGATGAAACAAGTCTGAAAAGCTTTTAATTATCATTTATTTTAGTGAATAATTAAGATTTTTCAATAAGAATTGAATATTTTAAACGAATAATTATAACAAAATAATCACTTAGATTTCTTATTGAATTATTAGTTATATCTGATGTTATCTTGAAAACAAAAATATAATTAAAAAAAGTCACTATAAATTATGTTTTTAACATATTTATTTTTATTCTGGAATGAATACAAAAGAGTGAATATTATAAAATATGAAAAGTTAATTAGAAACTGATTCGATTCAAAATATTTCGTTCATATTCATCAGCAATCTGACTATTGATATCTACAATTAGTTTCGTTGTTCGTTCTTTGAAGATGATTTCCCTTTGTAAAAGATCATTCAAATTCGTTATCTTCGATGATAAGGAATTAATTGTAACTTGAAGATATGCCTCGTACAGCTGTTGATCAGTTATAGGATTAAGTGGGAGATATTTTTCCAATAAATCATGTAATGCATCGAGGATATGTTGACCACGACATTCTTGACGAGGTACATTGAGAAAGATAGGTAATGCAAACAAACTTTTGTTTGGTTGTCGCCGAAAATGACATGGCATAAGAATTTTTGTAGAGTTATCATCATCCAATGGATACGGTGTTTCGTAGAAAACAATCAAATCACGATTCAGAATATTATTTAGTAAGTTATTTTCTCTGAATTGCAAATGAATCCTACTGTTATAAACTTCAACGGGTAGGATAAAATTATATTTTGGGTGATGATTAATAGTATCCATTGAAGTCTGCAGTGGCTGATTAAGTTGTTCCATATAACAATACTGCTGTATAAAACTTTTTATTAAATCACTGATTTTTCCATCTTTTTTTGTCTTAACGTAATAATTTCGAATGTTGCCATTCAGACGAACGTAAGTAACCTTAAACTCTCGTAATTCATTTGTTAATGTAGATTGAGACCCAAATAATTGACTATAAACATTAACGTGCCAAATTGGTGTTGTACCGATAACATTGATTTTATGTGTGATAAACGAACTCAAATATTTTTCAGTTTCATTAATTGATGTCTGAAGATCAGCAATTTGATTAGCAGATGCATCAGATTCTTGAATCAATTCTGTAATTATTTTCTTACTATTGTTCATTTTTATTAATTGCTCTTCATTTTTTGCAAGAAAAACTTTTCGATATTTATCAAGTTCATTATTAAGTTCTTGACGTTTATTCTCCACTATTTGATCAATTTTTTCATGTGCTTCAGCACGTAATTTTTCTAGTTGAACAAAAGGTTTTTTAAGAATATTATCCGACATAGAAATATCATCAAATCTTAATGATAATTCATTAAATTTATCAGCTAATGCATTCAATTTTGTTCGTATTGTATCTTCCATTAATTGTGCATGTTGAATTAAATGAATACGACAAAGATTTTTTGAACAATGATAACACAAAGCTTGTACTTCTTTTTTACATACAGTTCCTTCAACTTCACAAACTTTCGATGATTTATTGCTCGCCATTCCTCTTATCTAAAATATTTGGTTGACACAACACATTTTATAAGTCTTTCATGAATCATTTTTGTATGTATTTATATTGACCACAATATGTGTAAATACAAAGAACGAACAATAAATATAAGAGAAATAAACACTAAAAATAAAATCCGAGTGGTACATAGTAAACAAACGAAAAATAAATATATAGAATTTGTTTTCTTTGTCGAAATAATAAAAACACAAAAAAAAAAAAAAAAGAAAACGAAAATAAAGTGAAGTTAAATGATACAATCTTCACAAATTTTGTATTTGAGATGTAACAACTCGAATCTAAATAAATAAATAAACAAACAAAAAAAAAACAATGAATTAGATCAATCCTATAAGTTTCCATTGAATATAATAACATGCATCAGTGACATTTTTTATTTCGATTAATTTAATATCGTATGTTTTGTTTGCTTTTAGAAGTATAAATAAAATAAAATTTTGATACATGTAATTAGATGAAGAATAAGTTACATGAATTTCGGTCTGGTTTCAAACTTCTCTCATTGATTTCCTTAAAAACTCGAAACCCTTTAAAAAGTTGGTATACTCCGTAGTGTTCAATAAATATTGTAGTCTTATGAAATAGTTATTATTTGTTTGCAATAAGTGCTCAATAGAACTATCAAATGATATTCTTCCAATTCACGTTTAATTAATCCGTGTTTCTTCATAGATGTTGCCAATTTGTCGACTTTTCTATTACATGTAAATTCATTTTTGAGATATATCTCATTTTGAAACACTAAAGAAAGTTCGATAAAAGTATAACTATACCGACATATCTCTTCTGTCTTATGGTTATTCTTCCTGTTAATAGTGATAAAACGAAAAAAATTACAAAAAAGAAACAAATCATACATTATTTGCAAGAGTTGTTCCATTGATAGTTTCACGATGTTGAAAAAAGTCAAGTAAAATAAATATTAAAATGAATAAATAATGAATTTAAGCACTAGATGAAGAAGCTGTTGCTTCATTCAATGAAACATTTTCTTCATTAGTAGTTATAGATTTTTTACTAGTCTAAATTAGAAAACTAGAAATTATTTCATCTGTTTAATAGAATAGAATATACTTCAGAATGTGAAATAAATGTTGGTAATGATGTTGACATTTTAAAAACTTCTTCCCAAAGTCCCGGTAAAAAACTATGTATTCTATCTTTTGTAATCACTGTTAAAGGTTGATCACCATCAAATAAACCAGTTGTATTCATAACTAAAAGCATATTTTTTAATGATTCACGAACAGATTCACGCTAAAATAAATTAAATAGAACATTTCTTAAATAAGTTTTTTATTTTGAGAAAAAAAAAAAAAATTTTTTCTTTCTTACCAACATATCTGTTTGATCAGATTTTAAATATTTATCCATAAAATCAAGTATTGTTAACCAAAGTGCTGTAAATGTTGGTAATGTTAATAAAGGTGAAAGATGTTGAAGAAATATTCGACAAAGTAATTGTGATACACGTACACGTGTTTCTTCAATTCCATGTAGATGATCTGTTATATTTGTTGTTTCAAGTAATTTAAGTAACAAAGGAAATAATACTTTATTAAATACAGATTCCCATTCAGTTGGAGATAATATATGAAGTTCAGGTAATAAAACACTTCGTTGAAGATAACCAAGAGCAGACGAACGAACTGGACGACGAGGATCACAACAAAGACGTGCAATACCTTTTAACAAAGAATTTAGAGTTTATACAAAGAATATCAATTTCATTCTTTGGAAAATCAAAATGAAATGTTCATTTAATTGAATTCTCGTAATGATATTCAATTTTTTGTTTGGTAAAATATCTTTTGAATCATTCTGCATTCTTTCGATACTTATTAACTTATGTATTCACTACCTTACAAATAAAATCATGTATGTGATAAATTTATCACTTGTACTAACAGGTTTTTCTTTTGAGTTCAATGGAAAGAATGTACTCTATCGAATATTAAATTGTTGTAAGATAAACTCTGACGTTAATCCTCGATTATTTCTTGCTAAAATCAGTAGTAGCAAATATTCAGAAAAACATGAAGATGTATGTATATTCAACAGACGAAATAATATTTCTAGCGAAAACCAAATTTCAATTGATCTATCGCTTTTTCACTAACAAATACTCGATTGAAAATTATGAACCAATGCTTATTCCAAATATCAACATGAGAAATTTTCTGAGGTCTTTACTCTTTTCCAAGAAATAATTTCCTCGTAAGTTCATTTTCTTTCGTTTAATAGCATAATGATTTGAATTCTATAATGCACTGACCTTGTAAAATAGGACACCAACATTTATACCATAAAATACTGGAAGTTTTTTGATCTGTCTGTTGTACAGTTGTATGTTTATATATTTGTGATGCTCTAGTATGTAAAGTATGCATTAAATCTAATAATTGTAAAGCAAGTGATTGATATTCTTGTTTAATAGCTTCTTGATCATCTTCATCATCATAATCTAATTTTGATTGTCGAGAAATAAATTGTGTTTGTCCTAATTGATTATTTGTTAAATCATTTAAATTTTCATTATTTAATGAATTAGATGAAGTTGCTTTTCGAATTTGTTTAAGATTTTTATTAATTATTGTTATTTTTGATTTTTGTTGATTTGTTTTTTGTGTAACAGTTGCTTCAATAAATGTTCGAATACAATGAATACAATATTCAAAATTTTCTTCAGTTACATGTGCAGAATCACGTATAAGAAATGATAATGTTTCACATGATTTAATTAAAGCTCGACGATCATGTCGAGATAATTTTTCATTTAAATCTATTTTATATTGATTTAACATTGATTGTTGAGTTCGTATTGTTTCTAAATCATCATGTGATACAACAATATAATCTGATCGATGATAAATCTTTAATAATAATAATATTCAATAATTAATTTATATATTTTAATAAAAATTTACCTCTGTATCACTTGTATAACCTTTATCAACTGTATTTGTGCTAACACAATCTGAACATTCACTATCGGATTCAATATTTGTTGTTGATCGACTCGGATGAAAATGTTTATCATTTGATAGATTTTGTGTTATTGCTTGTAATACAGGTGGTGGATGTGCAGCAGCACCAACAACTTCAAGCAAAGAAAATAATGTAAACCAATCATCAGATTTATGAATATTTGCTGCATTTGTTCGAAGAAGTTCATGCAAACCAAATGCTATTTCAGATGATAATGAATGTATTACATGTGGTTTCATTAAAAGTAATATACGAAGTGATGCAAGAATCTTTGGAAAAAAAAACATAATAGAAAAAATTTTATAATTATAAATAATTACTTCAGAAGCTAATTCTTCTCGTCTTAAAAGTCTTGCTGCAATTCTTAATAATCCAACACAAGTACGTTCAACAAAAAATGATTTTTCATTTGCATTAACAAGTATTGAATAAAATTGATGACGTACAGTTGGCCAAAATAATGTAACACGATCACGATTTTGTAAAACAACTTTAACAAGTAATTCAAGACAAAAAACAGCAGCATCTTGATCAAATTTTTGAGAATCAGGAGATATTTGACAACCATATACAAGTGCTTTTAATAATTCATTTAAAGAATCAATTATTAAAAATTTTGTTTCTTGTAATAATTGTTCTAAATGACATTCTTCTATACATGCTGTTGCAATTTTTATTGCTTCTTGTTCTTCAAATGTAACTTGTTTACCAGAAGATAATGTAGAATCTGTTGGACCACCACCACCAAGAAGAAATGCAAGCGATGAAAATAGACCAACATCACTTCTGAAATATAACAATAAGAAAGACGAAAAGTTTTTTTTTTAATTTTATTTATGTTTAAATTTCTATAATTCAAAGATAAATTTACTTTTGTGTTTGTGCAATTTGCTCTTTAACAAGTGTCGTTCTTCCTGTTGGATCAAGAAAATCTTCAACTTCGACAAGAACAGATGGTAATAAATTAGCTTTATATAAATGAATAATACATTCAAGTATATTTTTCCATCCATCTCTTAAAATATCTCCATGTACATGTGCAATATTAAAAAGAACTGTTGCAGCAAGACGTGCTTTTCGATTTAAACCAAATTGAATTGGTAAATTTTCAATCCACTAAAAACACAAAATACAAAAACATCAATATTAATCAAAAGATAAATTTTTTTTTAAAATTATTTATTTATTTTTTAATAATCTCAAAGCTAAAAACGTGCTATTCATTTCTTTTTTTTTTTTTCATGCATTAATCATACCAAATAATCAATGCTCTACAATAGGATATAAAACTTTGAAAAAAAGAAAAAAAAAAATTTTTTTAATAAAAAATAATATTTACTTCTCGACTATTGAGTAAAGTTGTAAATTTACATAATGAAATAACCAAATTATCAAAAACATCAGACATAAAATAATGTGCAGCAATTCTTGCACATTTACTAAAACCTTGAATTGATTTTTGTATAACTAAATCATAATTTGATTTTTCAAAAACAAATGAAAGTGCAGCCATTGTTTGTCCCCATACTAATGTAAATATATCGTAATTATATGAACCTGATGGTACATGAAGAAATTTTTCTCCTGTTGTTGATGATCTTTTAAGCATTAATTTCCATAAATATGATTCACGAACATGACCTGTATGTTCTGTTGGCATAACGATTTCATCAGATTTTATTGCGTTATAAATTTCTGTTAACATTCGTTCATCAAAATTTTCTTTATTATTCATTTTTGAAAGATTTCGTTTAAAATCCTTATAAGAACAAAGCAAAATTTAATTAAGTGGTTTTTTTATTTATTTAAACAATTAATTATTGCATACTTCACATGTCATTGGAGAACTTTGACGACGAACATTTGTGTTATGTTGATCAGTCTATAAATAATATTTAATGTCGAAAATAAACGAGAATCATTTATTTAATTTATCTTTTTCCTCCGTGTTTCGTCAAAAAATTTGATATGGAGATTTTTATACAGTTGAATAGAATGCAATCTGTAACTTTATTTATGGTATTGTTGATGATTTTGAAAAGTTTTACTGAAGTTGCAAACGATTATATAAATATTTCAGTTATTAATACGCTCGAAACAGTTTCTGACAGGTTTTAGATGATGACGAATTTAGTTATCATATGTTTGGCGCAATAGAGATATACAGAGTAAATTTTTTTCTTATTCTATACTCTAACTGAGAAAAGTTTTCTTACCCTATCCTGCAAAACTTCTACACATCTCTACTGTTAACCTTTCCTAGGCAGTTTTTATGTCGCTCTTCTTTTATATTACTCTATTTGGAACACTCTACAACGGACAAATAATAAAATAATATCACCATAGATATGTATAGGGTAGGATAACCCTGAAAATCTCTATTGTACAATAAAAAAATGAATGGTTTGAAAGGAATGAACTTTTGTTTTACAGGTTTTTTTCTCAACTGTTTTATTGAGAAAAAAAAAGGTTTAATTTCTGATATGAGAACTTGCATTGCTTTTTTCTCAATATGGAATTTTCTGTTTCTATTTGTTTGTCCTTTTTAAATACTAGATAGTTGGAAGATGTTTTAAAATGAAGTGACAACTATAATCTGTAACTTAATAGAGTTAGATATTTTTATTTTCTCGGATTCATGTTTTACAGATTATTTTAATGTTTTGAGGGTTTATATCAAAGAGCGTACGCAATATATCTAGTGGTATAAATAGATACTTGAAATTTAAAATTTTCAAAGTGTTATTTTCTACAAATATTATTATTTGTTTTGTATCTATAGGTTTTTTTTTTTGAGAATTTTTAAAAGAAGTTCAATTTTTTCGATATTTTCTTGTCCAGTCTACATTAAAATATATCCTTTTGTTTGAAAATATTCATAAAAATTTTCTAAACGAATTCGATCTATCGATAGATTTCTAATTGATTAGTAGAATAGAAACTATAATCTGTCAGAATTTATATCATTTCGTGAAGTTTTTATATTTTTTACTTATTCAATTAACTCTCTAATCATATTTGACATCTAGTTAATAACATTTAGAATTAATCAACCAATATAAAATCCTATCTAATACCAATTTTATCTTTCGATACAGAGACTTATCAGTTAAAAAACTTTTTTTTTTCAAGATTTTATCCGAATAAGAAATTATTAGGTAGAATTCTTTTAATAATGACTATCATCCGAAAATTTTCATATTTAAAGTGCTGTAAATTTTTGTTGAGATGCCTTACATTTAGCATAATACAAGCGTATGCTAGACCAAATGCAGCATCATTATTTGCAAGTTGAAAATTATTACATTTCTGAAAGACAACAAAAAATTAATTTTTAAAATAATAAAAATACAGAAAAAAAAAGAACTTACTCTCCAATGTGCTGCAAAATGTTCGAGTAGTGTACTTATCAAAGGTGCTTCACCAGGTAGACGAAATTCTGATAAATAAATTCGAAGTGCCTCATCAATACGCATATCATCAAAATGAAATGTCCTTTGAAATAAATGAAAAAAGAAAATAAATAAAAAGTTAGAAAATTATATTTACGTGACATATTGTTCTAATATAGCAATATTTTTTCTATTAGATAAATATTCTCCAATAATTTTTTTATCTAACATTGGATTATCTTTAAGAAATTTGACTATTTCATTTAGTTCTAAAGGATTTGTAAATATTCGATTTTCTTGAAGAAAATTTATGCCTAATGATGGATTTTGATTAAACAATTCTGAACCTTGTTTTATTATCTATTAAATAAAATAAGTTGAAAAAACAGATTTTATATCGAATAAAATAAAACCTTTTTGTCATGTTTTATTTTTTTAATATCATCTTGTGATGGTAAATTTATCGATATAGCTTGACGATTTTGTCGAATTTTTGGTCCATGACGAGATTCTCGTGGAATTCCTGTACGATTTGTATCAGTATTTTGTAATGAAAGTGCAAGAGCATATCCAGATGAAACTGGTCGTGTTAATGATTGACTTGTTGCTACAAAAGAAAATTAATTTTATTCTTATAGAATAAATTCATAGGTATATAACAGAGATTATTATATTTTGAGCTTATATTTGCCTATTTGCAGGAGATCACTCGACTAGAGTGTTTTGGAGGCTATTCTAGTCTCGTAGTACCTTACGAGTAGGTAAAATATTGTAATAACTTAGATGGTTCTCATTATATGTTTAGACAAAATACTAAATTTCCATAGTTTCAGACGAAAGTCGACAACATTTTTCATCCAAAGTTGTTCTCTGATCACATCTCATCTAACTAACATGAAAAAAGGAGATAAAAGAATCTCCAAACAATTAGTTGGATAGTCAAGGATTTAATCTACAGGATGGACTACAGTCATTTGGCAGTCTTGGTTTCTGAATAACTTTTGATGGGAACAAGATAGAGAATTGCGGCTTTCATTGTTCGAAATAGGCTGTGTTATTTCATAGTCCCATATATAATTCAACAATGTTACTTGATGACCAAACGATCAATCTGTAGGCTTCAGAAAAATACTGATAGTTCGATGAAGATGACATAGAAGTTTAATTCTCATAAATGTACTATAGATACATCTGCACTGTCATTGCTAAATCACGCATTGAATTATATAGTGATGTAGCTTCTTTCGAATATGATGAAAGTTGCTGCTCTGTATCTTATTTCTATCAAAAATTCTTCGTAATAAAAGACTTGAGATCACGTTGTATATTCAATGTAACTTACAATCACTTTTTTGTCTTTGTACTTGATATTGACATTCAAGTTCAATATGATCAATAACAGAAAGAAGTGCATCAAGTGAAAGTATATGTGTAGATGTTAAACCAGAAACAGGAAATGCATTTTTTGATAACATTTTAGTTAATTCTTCAAATAAATTTGATAAATATAAATCACAATCATAATTTAAAAATAATTCAGCTGATAAACCCGGTATACGAAGAAGTTGAACAATTGTTTCAAGTGCTATTTCTTTTTGTTCATAAGTTATTTTCGATTGTTCAGAAACAATTAATTCCATTAAACGTGTTACAAAAAACTATAAAAAAAAAACATGAATACAACATATATTAAAAGATTAAATATTAACATAACAATAACTTTCATACTTCAAATTGATATTTAAGATGTGTTCTTAAACTTTCAAAAATAAGAAATGAAACCCGAAGTGAAGCAGAAAATAATTGTATACGATTACAACTTAACATCTAAAAACAATAGAACAATTTTTATTTATAATAAATAAAATGTTGTTATTCTTAACTTACGCTTAATAAATTTCGACATAATGAATCTTTAACGATTGAAAGTAATAATGGATAATTAGCAATATGATCTGCACCAACTTCTAATGCAACTGTTAAAAGATTAAGACCAACTGTCATCATATATTCACTATTATTTCTATTTAAAGAAAAAATAAAGATTCATAAAAAAAGAACGATAACCGAAAAAATTAAACAAACTTGTCATAATTATTAATAAGAGTTGTTAAAAAACGAAATAAACCACGAACACAAGGCCAACCATAAGGTGATAATGGTTCTAAAAATGAATCAAATTTATTAATCATTTATTTTTATCATAAACCTTTCAGATTAAATCACTTTTCGATTAGAGTTCTTTTCAAAATCTACTTAATAATAGTTGACATATATAAATCCTTCAATAAGAAAACAAATGCATCAAGATGCGAAATGTTCAATCATAAAGAACAAATGTGCCATTATTTAGTAAGATTCGACTCCAAAAAGTTACCTCATCAAAACTATTTCTTCAGAGATCTGCTCATGTTTTATACAAACATTTTTTTATTATTTTACTATCATCTCGAGATCCTCAAAAAGAATTTTGTAACATTTGCGTAGAATCTGTCTTTGAACTTCTCATTCAGCTGTAAGAAGATTCACGTTTCTAACTACGAATTAATTCTGTTTTGTGAAAAAGTCGTCAACATGTTCAGAAAAAAAAATCTTGCAACGAGAATTTGTAGTCTAAAGAGTATTCTACAAAACACTTCATATAGTATTCATAAATACTTTTCGAATTTGCAGTATTTGTAAATGAAAATCTTTCCCCTTTTTTGTGTCACGTCGCTGACATTAGTTTTTTAATATTAACTCGATGGAACAAAGGTTGAGAGATTGAGTTTTTCAGGGTATCTGGCATAACTAAACATACATTTTATAGTTAAAAATTAGCTGCAACAAGACACAGAGTTCAAAGATGTATCTATGTGATACGTATACAAAAAAAAGTGGCTATAGGTACAATAATAGTAGATTTTAAGCGGAAGAGAGCTCGACCTATCTTTCAAAAATGTTCGATTTTTCCCATTCAAATCAAGAAGAATAGATTTATGTCAGCTCAAATCGTTTTCAAATAGTGCTTTTTTTCATAAATATCATCCTTCTTTGGTAAGCTGATTTTTTTTTCTCAATTATCAAAAAGTATACCCGCTATTCAGATATAGATATTTTCTTCTTTCGATAATTATTTTGTTTTAATTTTTATTTAATCATTCATCGAATTATACTGTGAAAATATTTATCTATTTTGGTTTAAATATTAGTTAATTGATTGATCAAGTTTATTAATCCGAGAACGAGAGAATACTTAAGAACGATCCAATATTTAAGTTAAATAATAAAATGAGAATTCTATTTTTTTTTAAATATTCTCATATAAGGTGTTGAAATAAATAATTGAATCGTTTTTAATATATGAAAATCACTTATATTTATATAACTTTACAAATCATAATGTTTTCATGAGAAAAAAAAACAAAAGTTTTAGAGGAGTTTAGTAAAAATCTCAGATTTATTTACCTTTTACTGGTCCACTAGTAGTTGGGGTTGTCGTTGATGCTGTAAATCTAATACCTCTTGGATTAATATATTCATTATTATTTGTTGATGTTTGTGTTTCTATTTCTGATGGTGAATTATTTATTTCTTGTGATTGTTGTTCACTTTCAACTGTTGTTGTTGTTGTTGTTGATGTTTCATTTACATTAATAACTCTTGATGATAATTCATCAAATGACGGAACTATTATTGGTAAGATTGATTCTGAAGATGAATTATCTGTTGTTGTAGATTCTATTTCATTATTAGTTGGTTCAATATCTGTTGGTGCTGGTGGAGGAATTTCATGAGTAGCATTTTCAATTGCTGTTGGACGTTCATTATCATCGATTTGAGATGACTAGAGTAGAAAGAAATTATTTCTTTTTTTTTTTTGTCTTTCGAAAGAAAAAAAAACATACATAAGTTAAATTTCGTTCTGATGAAGGTGATGTTGATTCTACAAGAGTAAAAAACAAAAAAAAAAGAAATGAAAAAGATATTGATAATAATAATAATAATTTAACCATTTATTTGAGATTCGTTAATTTGCTCCTTTTTCATTGATGACGAACTAACTCGTTGAGATCGACGTCGATTATGCGTTGTATCATTTGTTCCTGTCGTTGTTATACCTCGTGTATGAAGCTAAAATAAAATCAAATAAATAAAGTTAAATTTCGTTCGTTTCGTACTCGTTTCGTTAATGTTGAAGATGTTGTATCATCTTTAAATTGTGGTAATCGTGCAAATAATAATTGAACCATATCAATTAAAACATGTTCTGATGTTTTACGTAATAATTCTGAAAAAAGAAAACAAAAAGAAAAAATTTTTTTTTTATCAGAAAGCAACAAGAAAAAAAAATATACCTGACAATCTTATTTCAAAACAAATACGAAAACATGATTGAAGAATCTCACATACACTATCATTTGTTATTTTTGATCCAGCTGGACTGAGTAATAATGAACGAAGAACCTAAATTTAAGAAGAAAAAATTATTTTAAATGAAAAAATAAAATAGTAAAACTTTAATAAATTTACTTGTAAAATTCTCATTAAAACAACTTCATCATTATTTGGATTTGTTCCAACAAAACGTGTATGTGTTACAGCGTTTGCAACTTTATCAATAGCTGACGATGCTGATTCACTTTGAGTATCTATTAATTAAAAAATTTTCTTTTGAAAAAAAAAAAAAAACACGTTAAATTGAATTTATACCAATAAGACCATATGAGAGAAATTTATTAACAGCATTTAATGCCAAACATGTTATTGGGCCAGATGTTTCATCGGAACGAATTATATCAAGAAATGGTGTTAAAAATGTATTGGAATCAATATCTTGAAGATCTAAATTATTTATTTAAAGAGAAGTTTCTTTTGTTTTGATTTGATTTTTCTGTTAATTTATTTTTTACCTGATACGGTATTAAGAATTGTTTTTAGTTTTTGAAACGAATTCATTTCAGGAGATTCCTAAAGAAGATCAATTTTTAGAAGAAAATAATAAAGATTTATTGAATACTTCATAGGAATGTGTTGTTGACCATCGAAGACTATTCTTTCTTGATGATGTCAACGCTTGAATTTCACCCAAAATGATATATATAGCATTTTTAGGTGCCTCGAATGGCGACGACATCTTTGAAGAATGATGAGATAAACAAATCGAAAGATTTTTTTTTAAGGATCAATTTGTATATGAGAACAAAATCGATCAAAAAACAAACGATTTAACTTAGAGTAAAGGAGATGGTAAATCTACACGCTCGTTCGTAGTTTACCTTACAAGATAATTCAACTTAAAACCAATGAAAGGATTTGTCTTTGAGTGTCACTAGTTACCATTGAAGTTTTATTATAGGCCAGTAAAAAAATTCATCCATCGATCTTCCTTTTGTGCTAAATAAATGAATGAATTTAGTAGAAGATATGAATTTGATTTAAATTACAGTAAGAGAAAAATATTTTAGGCTTGTTGACATTTTAAAATACAAAAAAAAAATGGTATTTCGTAGGATATTTCTTGTTGATTTCGTTTTCATGTAATTTTAGTTGCTAAATACAAATGGAACGATGTAAATCAGCAATCTGTCATTTCATCTCAATATTATCTATATATTTTCGAAATGTTCTGAAAATAAACTAGATGTATTTTTTAGCATTGGCCCTAGTTTTGACACGATTACAAAACAAGTTTTTCTCCATAATTGAAAATGCATTTGGTTATTTATTATACTTTTATTTATAAAAAAGCTTTGATATACTACAAAGTTTATATAACCTATGCAATTAGATGAAAGTGTTTGCCAACGTCTGAACACATTTTAGCATTGTATCTCGATCGGAAACAGCTTTATAACAGGACTGATAAAATGAGGTTGTAAGTGTTGGGTATGGATGTTCATGAAGAGAAGATCTATAACCATTCTCAACTATCATACACTTGACTCAAGGAAATCATTGAAAAGAACGAAAAAGTTATTATGTAATCTTTGAAGAAGACCACCGTTTCCAGCAAATAATTCAAAGTATTGTTGGGCAGACTAGAATATAAAAATAACAATCATGTGATTGATGATGGTTTAATAGAATTCTGAAGTTTTCATTTATAAGATTGATTAAAATTTCTAGTACTTATTTGAGGTAAACAAATAATTCTCTATAGATCTATCTAGGGGAATGATTTGCTTTAAAATAGGTATTCATATTGATGTTTGTTGTTCTTTTTTTTTCTCTTCATTTGTTCAGAGTCAACGATAAATGTTTCTATTAAATGTTTGTTAATTGTATATCGAACAATGAATCTTAATACTATCCGAATATATTGTTGTATCAGTGTGTTTATTATATTAATGACGAAAATTTTGTATTTTTTCACATCAATGATAACTCAATTATTCTATAAGTACTTGAACATATTTGAATCATTTTTTATTTAATTTTAATTATTGTCATAACTTGAAATAATCTATTAATTCATAGATAATTGCTTTCCTCGATCAATATCTAAAATACAGACTATGTTTCTATATATTTTTTTAATGTTTAATATGTTTTTTTAGGGATATTTATGCATATAATAGTAATCAAGTTTTTATTCAAGAATTTATACTTAAGATATTTCTTTTACCTATTTAAAAATATCTATATATAACTATTGTATTGTTCATAAAAATGTTACATAAAATAAATATTTCTTCGTTTTCTTTTGGTTTTTATGAACTATATTTTATGTTGTTTTAGGTTTAACTGAACATAAACTAACATATATATATATATATATATTAACCCTTTACTCCCCATGACTGTTTCAGAATTGTCACTGATAAAATAAGTCTCTAATATGCAAAGGGCGTGGTCTAATCTGCTGAATGTCCTGTTCCTAATGTAGGATGATTTTATTGATCTAGCAGCAATCATGAGGTGAAGAAATGAAATTTAACGATATAGTAGACTTTGTATTTTATTTTGTTGACTATGTCACTCAATGAATAGAACTAACATCTACCTCGTGCTATTGTGATTATGAAACAAGGAAGAAGTGAGCCAATAAAAGTTAATATAAAAAGACTAGATGACTAGTTCGTTTCGAGAAGATAGTGCTAACGTTGGTCGAGAATAGTCTCAACTCTTCAAACAGTTCATTTTAGTTTGATTTTACTTTCTAAACAATTTTTTTTTTATAGTGGTCCGTAGTGAAACTAGAAAAATGTGTAATATTGTGGAGGAAATTTTTAAGGATTTAAATTGTTATTATAATATTTGATTCAGAATTAGATGTTTTTATTATATAAAAAGTATAATGAAATATTACATTCATTTTGTTTTCATTTTGTCATTTTCAATATGATTAGCTTCTAAAAACGAACAGTTACGACAAGTGTTGATTGAATATTTGATAATATGCAAGTTAGTAATTTTCTCCAATCCATATAAAAAATAGGTGTCGAGTACCTCTATAGAATAAAAATGTTATACTTTTTATACTAAAGCTACAAAAGTATGTTGAAATAAAAATATAGGTAACAGAGATGGGCAAGTCAAGTCATTTTTTGACTTGACTTGACTTGACTTGAATAGTTTTTTGGTGATTAATGATTTGAATTGACTTGGGTTTTCGTTTCAATGACTTGACATGACTTGAACCTTAAAAACCTCTGACTTGCCTATCTCTCTACAAAAGAACGAAAAAGCTTTTATGAAATGTTTGAACAAGACCACCATTCTCAGCAGGTAACTCTCCCCCCCCACCCCCCTCCCTCCACAATAAAAGACCTGGAGTATTCTATTATGTTCAGGCGATAAAAAGTTTTGGGAGATCTTGTATTATGTCTCTCGTATTTTNNNCCGCCCTGCCCTTCCCCCAAACAAAAAACAAAAAAACTTTTTTGAAACTGTTGAACAAAACCACCATTTTCCGCAGGGAACACCCCCCCCCCCCCCCCCCATATTAAAAGATTCCCCTGAGAAAAAATTTGTCCAACGTAATAGAAGATCCTCCCCCTCCCCCCTCCTATTTAATGAATATTTTTTTTGAAAACTGGGACTTTAATTAGTGACTTTGCAGGCAAACATGTCTAGTTTGGGGGTTTTGAGCTGAAAATCTCAAATTGGTAAGTTCAATAGTATATCTGAGCTTTGAAAATCGTGAAAATCCGTTCTCGAATCTTCAAACTAGCTTCGGTTTTCTAAGAAATCCTTTTTAATTAATAATTATAAAAATACGAGAGACATAATACAAGATCTCCCAAAACTTTTTATCGCCTGAACATAATAGAATACTCCAGGTCTTTTATTGTGGAGGGAGGGGGGTAGTTGAAAGTATTGCTGAAAAGACTAGCATCGAAAAACGACATTCATGTAATTGATGATAGTTTTATCAAAAATATCATGAAATAAGTGATTATTTCAAATGGAATGTATTGAAGTTTTCTGATTGGAAATGCAATAGCTTCCTTTTCTACGACAGTCTCATCAAGTAGCAGATATGTTGCTGGTTCACATCAAACTTATTCAAGATTATAACTTTTCTTTCACGGATTGAAATAACACCAAGGTTGGTCGTTAGCCAACTATTCGATTAGAGTAGAAGAAAATTTTGTACGACATCCATTTGAATACAAAGTTTTCACATCTATCATGAAAGACAAAATTCATTCCAATCGAATTTCGCTAAATGTTAATTGCTTTCTCGTTACTCTTGTATTCTTTAATAGCTTTCTTAATTCGAACAACGAAAAAAAATCAAGAAAAATAGAAAGCATCCATGCCGAGAAAAGCACATTCATTATCTGTTCGAAAACATCCCGTCCTCCTCTCATGCAATGACACATCGATGTTGTTTTCTTTTCCCGAAGAACGAGTCGAAGAGAAAAGAAAAGATATAGGAAGCGTTTTTAAATACCGTAAGAAAAAATAGAACAGAACAATATTGAAAATGCATCATGACCAATAGAAATGACACTAAGCAAAAAACAAACTTGTTTCTCTCTCAGCACCAAGTATTGTGTCGAATGAATCACGCTTTTTTTTCAACCCATGCTGTGCAGGAAAATGATGTGTGCAAGGTGAAAAAATAGTGAATTTCTCTTGAGTGAAAGAGGTAAATACAAAAAAGTTTTTTTTTTCTCTAATTCTGTCTACTCATACTGCCTTTGTGTGCAAAAATCACATAACAGTCAGACACGTGAACGTGCAATGTATTAATCATGTAAGAAAATATTCGATATATGTGTTAAATTTTTGTCATTAAATAGATAATATTTAATATTTATTTATACTTCAAATGATGTACCATCGTCAACTAGAAGATCTTCCTGACGAGATACTGATTGAAATATGCTACTACTTAAGCACTTTCGACATATATTACTCATTTGGTCGTCTTAATTCTCGACTTCAATGTACGATTGCCGAATTTTATTTCCAATTAGATATTTCAAATTTTTCTTTCAATCAATTTCAATATTTATGTTCGCCTTCTTTCTTGACCTTCATCAGTGAACGTCTTACCAAGTTATCACTTAGTAATGCATGCGCTACCGGTCAAATTGAACTTTTTGGCAAGAATCTCGACAATGATAGTTTCAAAGATACATTGCCTCTTTTAAAATCGATTACACTCAGTGAATTTACTAATAACGATGTGAAGATTTTGCCCAAGCTGCTCTATCTTGAAGAACTGAACATTGAATTTAGTTCTTATCAAAAAATGACAAGTACAACCGAATCTTTGATCAGTTTATATATATTTTCTACGCCGAATAAATTTCGCAAAGTAAAACTTCTTATAGACGAAGGTATACAACTCAAAACACAAGTTAGTCCGAATACATGTTTGGAAGATCTTGTTATTCCTATCACTACTGTTCATGACTTGCTCATTCTTTTCACACTTGCACCGTGCCTAATTCGACTACAGTTATGTATTGTACGTAATACATCACAAGAGTTCGTTCTTCAATTTCAATTGGAAGTTATGCCACAAGTATTGAAAGAGTTTTACATACAAACAATACAACATCAAGTAATTTCGTTTCAAGCTCTATTACGACCACTCATTTATAATATTTCGTCGATTGAATATCTTTCTGTTGCTGTGAAAACTGACGATCCGGATTATGCTGATGGACGTCTTTGGGCAGATGTGATCGCTAATATGCCCTCTCTGAAAACATTTCTTTTAGGTCTTGAAATACAAATAACAGCAAATCTGCTTACTCGTTTCAGTGATGGTATAGTTCAGGGACTCAAACTGGCTATTTTTAAGTTGTTTGTAGAGCATTTTGACTCATCTTCGTCCTTTCGTATTTATACAAATAGACAAACACTGTTTATTGATAGCATTCCTTATCGATTCAGTTGTGAACAAAGCTATAACACATCTCCAGAAGCTAATCATGCCCTCTGCACTAATATGACATATGTAGAGCAGCCACCTCACAACATCGTTGGACTCGGAATGAATGGTGAATATTTTCCGATAGTGAAAGACGATTATCTTGAAGTTATTCGTCATTTTTCCTCTATCACATATCTCTCTCTTAGTTCGATAAATGTGTATGATCAAGAGAACGAAATCAATGGAGTGCATCCAATCGCATTGA